CCCTTCACTTGTTGTAAGTAGAGTTGTTTTGAGTGGAAATTGCTCTCTTGCAAAGCTATCCTCCCATCATCTTCTCTCAAGAATTCCTGTGTAAGAAGTCTATCAAACTATCAAGTTTTACTTCATCTTTTTCAAATCATCTTCAACTTTTATTTATTTCGTGCATAATTGGTCATCTCCAATATTTATTTTATGCAAAACTGGTCATCTTCTGTATTTCTCTTCTTCTAATCTGGTCATCTCCAGTATTTACTCTTTGCTAATCTGGTCATCTCCAGTATTTACTTTTTGCTAATCTGGTCATTTCAAGTATTTACTTTTTGCTAATCTGGTCTTTCCAGTATCATTTACTTTACAAACTATTTTCAAGTTAATCTTTTGTTGGCTGTCTCATTCCGTCCTTACTGGTATCAGGCTAGCGTACGTTGTACATTTGTGTTCACACTTGGTTTTGCACTCAATATATTTCGTTGAATCAGAACTGTCAATTATTTTTTTTAGATTAAATGAATCTTGTGGCTTGGGTTAGAGAGTTAGGGACTCTGGTTCACCCGTTAGAGGATAGAGTATAGTATCATACCCCAAACTCTGATTAATTCGTACTCTAAATAGTAAAACTCAACGGGCGTACAATGTACACGTGACGTACGCTAACCTGAACTATATATATTCCTCCCTTGCGTAACCTAGCCACACGCCTAGAAACTATAATAAGTAATCAAAATAATTACACTCCTGATTTGCACCTGTTTTTGGCCGCCTAAAATAGGTAGAGGGCCTAAAAGCTCCTTCCGTGGCTTGCGCAGGAGCCAGGAAAAGGAAGATTGATTGGGTGCTCAAGGGGAAAGTCTATATAGTTATTGTTACACTCCTGATTTGCACCTGCTTTGGCCGCCTAAAATAGGTAGAGGGCCTAAAAGCTCCTTCCATGGCTTGCGCAGGAGCCAGGAAAAGGGAGATTGATTGGGTGTTCAAGGGGAAAGTCTATATAGTTATTATTAGATGAACCTAAACCTAACATACTAAATAGCGATATTCTTTATAATTTTTCCGGCTCGTAGGATAGAATGCATGCTGACAGAGAATGTGAATTTTACGTTGTTTTTATGCTGGCAAGTTATATTATGATACTTTAATATTGTACATAGTACAAAATGAACTTATATAATAATTTAAATTATAAATTATTATATGATACAAATTTAACTTGTACCTTTAATATTGTACACGTTCAAATTTTACCTCGGAATGTCTAAACACCAGTATTTTAGAGCATAATAGAAAGGCTCGATTTATTAGGGTTAGATTCTCAATTAATACGGTTGCCTATCACTAGTTATATATTATGGAGAAAACAAACATGAGACTAATGGCATGTGATCAATGAAATCAAATTATTCGAGGAATATAAACTCTCACATAATGATATTTATATAGTTAAAAAGATATGACATAATGTTAAAGTTCAATTATGATTTAATCTGAGTATTTTTTAAAGAACGAGATATCTCTGAAATTATTCTTATTGCTCAGGAAGTTATGCAATTCTTGAAAACTAAGACTCATGGTCGAGATAAATGGATGACACTAAAGCTAGATATGGAGAAGGCGTACGACCGAGTAGAGTGGAGATTCCTATTTGAACTTATGGAGGCTTTGGAGTTTGGTCCACGGTCGATTAAGTGGATCAACGCATGTGCGACGACAGTGCCATTTTCTCTTTCGCTGAACAGAACGTGGGTATGTTCTACCACAAAGGGGAATTCGACAAGGTGATATGCTCTCTCCCCTCCTCTTTGCCATTTATATGGAAGATTTTTCAACAATGATTTCTAGTGCACTTGGATCAAATCAATTACATGGTCTGAAGGTACATCGACTAGCACCAGCGAACTCACAACTCATTTTCACCGTTGACTCCTATATCATTTTGCGGGCGTCTTCGACAAAACGTTCTTAACTTCATCATATCCTTCCCTTATATGAACATGTGTTTTTGTTCAAATGTACCTATATATGAGGCTAATTTGATAGCTGGACTTACGGGGTACCCACAGTTGGGGTGTTGGATAACTATTTAGATCTTCGCTCCCAAGTTAAGCATTCAAAATTTCTTACCATTCAATTTGTGGAGGATACGCTAGGTGGTCATATTAGGATCTGGAAATCCCAGGCACGTTTGTGAATAAGTTTATTGGTTTCGCAACTCCTATCTACTCCATGCTCTCTTTCATGTTGCTTTCTACAAGTTGTCAGCATTTGAATAGCCAGCTGGCTTGTTTTTGTGGGTTGGCCAGGATAAGGATGATGGGAGCATTGGATCTCCTGGCCAGCGGTGTGTATCAGCAAGTTTCAAGGTGGACTTGGATTCTGCAATCTCGACTTGTTCAATGTAGCGATGCTGGCTAAACAAGCTTGTAAGATCCTTCAAGCTCATGGGTCTACCCTTGCTCGGATGTATAAAGCATGTTATCATCCTTGCTCCTCTTTTCTCAATGCTCCAATGAGAAACCGTCCTTCATGGGAGTTGGGTGGACTAATCCTTTTGTTGCTTCACTCATCCATCCGATGACCAGAACTTGAAATGCAGAGTTGTTACAGGCTTCCTTTACGAGTGAGAGTATTAAATGGATTCTATCTTAACCTTGCTTTCCTCTCCTAATAAGTTTATTTGGCATATTCCACCACTGGGCAATATTCAATAAAGTCTGGTTACCAATTACTCCGGGCAGAACGGTATGCATTATTTGATTCGCTTCCTTCACACTTGCGCACGAAGTTGTGGAAGACTTTGTGGAATCTCCCCATTCCTCCTAAACTGAAAATTTTACTATGGCGTCTTGTGTGAGGCTTTCTTTCATTATGGGCTATCCTTCAAGGAAATCTTTGTTTTCCACTAATATTTGTCATGTATGCTCGGAGGAGGCCGAATCGATCTCTCATTGTATTTTCGTCTTGTTGTTTGTAACCCTTCTCCCGATGTCGCATGACATCATATCATTTTTTTCTTACAGATGTCCAAGATTAACATAGTAGAACTAGTCTCCCTAGCTTGGAGGGTGTGGAAGGGGCATTTTTGGACTACCTACGATTGCGTACAATACTTGGAGAGCTCTCATTCATCAATACAATACTTGGGTTGATGAGTGGAGGGGGGCGACATCCACCCATCTAAAGAGACCGACCTCTAGTGTGTGCCCTCCCCAACTAGCATATGTTGTTTCCAGTCCTCAAGGTAGTATTTTGATTAGATGTGATAGGGCATTCAAGAGGGATGTTGGAGGCCGTGATGGTTTTGTAGGATTCACAACATATTCCTCATTGCTCTGCGCCTACATTAAGTTCTACGAAGGTTTGGCTTACTATTACATATATGAACTTTTAGCTCTTTGAAATGCTATGATGTGGTGTTTAAACCATGGGATTGCATAATGTTTTTTTTTTTTTTGTGAAGACTTCCAATTGGTGACACTTAGGTAAAGAAGGATAATGTGAGGAAAATCGGCCACACACACCCGCGTGTTCATTCGTAGTAAGGTTTTAGGGTTGGAGGTCACACACTCTCCATTTTTTTATTTGGTTTGAGAATTTTGCATCTTTTTCAGTTTCCCCCTTCATCTAACATTGTATTTGAATTTCAAAGTTGAACATTTGTATATGATTATATGAGTGCGTTTGAATTTTTGTTATATGTTGGATTCAAGTACAAACTGTTATTTAGGTGTAATATTATATGTTATGGCCCATATTTTATATGAGATTTGATATAATTTATAAATATATTAACAATATAATGACTTTTTTCGTCTATTCAAACTAAACCTGACTAAAACCATCGAACGATTAAACCTCAACACACTTAGTCGACCGGGCCAACCGGTTAAACGAATTGACAACTTTGATAAAGATATAATTTATAAATATATTAACAATATAATGACTTTTTTCGTCTATTCAAACTAAACCTGACTAAAACCATCGAACGATTAAACCTCAACACACTTAGTCGACCGGGCCAACCGGTTAAACGAACTCTCATTTAGGAATGACAACAAAATCGAAACCCACGGGTACCCTATCGGACCCACTCCGGTCAATGTTGATGTGTTTCGGACCGAGTTCGGGTTTAAAACTGTTACACTGATCACCGGGTTGGGTTGACTTTGGGTTTAGAAATACCCGACCCATGGATACCTGCCGACACTTATTCTGTCGCCCTACTCTCCCCACACTCTACCCTAATTCTAATTTGCCCCAATCTAACTCTCACGACTCACCTGCCGCCTCCCAAGTCCCCACTATGCTCTCTCCCCCAAAACCCCCTCTCCTTCCCGATTCGACCCCCAATCGACCAATCCTTCATTGCTTCTCCTAGAAAGTTGATTGCATGTTTTATTCTTCCCAACAAAGTATTGTTCCCTTTTACCAAAAGAAGTGGGAGGGATAAATAAATAATTGGAGTTGAACACACTGTGTTTGTTGGTTTGCTGCTCTCACAAACAAAAAGGGAATGAACAAAAAACAAAGAATTGTGTGCTTTTATTTAGTGTAATTGTGATTTATGTGAATTTTCTAGACTAGTGTTTTATGTATGGATAATTTGTATGAGAAAATTGATGTTTGACTTTATTTTGATAGGAACTTTTCATTGTAAATTTTTTTTTTATCACAAAACCTATTTGGTATCCATGAACCCGCGGATACCCAATAGGTTAGGTTGGGTTTGAGTTTTCCAAACAGAATAGGTTTTATCCCAAATTTTTTTTACGAATAAACTCATAAGTTTGAATTTCGATTTGACAAAACCCGACCCAACCTTACCAATTTTCATCCCTACTCTCATTCACTCCGGAGTACGGCCTTCTCTTCCCCCTCTCTCCTGATCTCTTCCCTCCAATTAGATCTTGCTCAATATAAACTAAAATCAGAAATTCGACCCAAAGAAAAGAAAGAAGAAAAACGCAATTGGTTGCCACAAACTCAAACTCTCCCCTCCTTCTAAACAAAATCAGAGAGAGAAAAAATAAAAGGAAAACAAAACAAAACAAAACAAAGAAAGACACCAAACAACGAAGGCGAGGCGGGAGAGCGAGCGGCGACTTCCCTCGCCATTCCCCTTGACTCTCTTTTCCTTCTTCTTCTTCTTTAATTTTCTTCTTTTTTAATTTTCTCGTAAGGAAAGAAAGAAAAAATATATCGTAAGGAAAGAAAAAGGAAAAACACGAACGAGGAGAAGAAAAAAAACAGCGGGAGCAACGGAAAATAGAAGAAATTCAAAGATCAAAATCCGATTTTCTCCCAATTAGTTTGACCTCCCCGCAACCGTTTCTCACCAACATCATTCTTCTTCTCCATTCCTTCTCTCCGATTTTTCCATCCTCCTCTGTCGTCTCTCTTTCTCCATGATATGGATTTCCGACCGTCGTTAATTACGCTACCGTTCGTTCTCCTCCACCAGCACCGACGAGCTGCCATGGAAAGAACGGAAGCGATAGGCATTTGAATTTGTGTTTCTTCTACGCTGTTCAAATTTTTTTCCCCTTCTTCTTCTTCTTTCCTCGTGTTCCTTTCGGAAGAACATGATTGTTTTTGTTTCGATTTCTCGCCACCATGCGCTGGCCAAGCCTCTCCGCGTTCTCTTTCTCTTCCGCGCCTTCCTCTTCCGTAACTTCTGCTAAACCCGCCGCCGTCGCCGACGAAACGGCGCTTCAAAACCACAAGAAGAATGGTCAGAACCTCCGCAGCAGCACCTTCGGCTTCCGATTCAGTTCCAGCCCCGGCAGCACCCCCAAGCTCACGCGCCAGCGCAAGCTCCGCCATCTGACCGACAAGGATGTCGCCAGCAGCGACGGCATCCCTGCCTCCTCCAGATCGTCGCCGCCCGAGCCGCTCAAGCTCTCGCGGTCTCAAAGCACTTCCTCGTCGCCCCCGAGGATCTCCACCAGGGTGCCGCCTACCTCTCCTGTCCCCGTCCCCGTCCCTCTCCCTTTGCCCCAGCCGTTGCGCGGCGAGAATCTCAATACCGTCGGCGAGGCCGACTTGCGGTTGCGGTCTCCCAAGGAGAAAGAGCACGATTCTTCTCGAGAGAGAAGTAATGGCGGTGGAATCGGCCCTTCTCTTTCCACTTCCGCTCCTTCCAGGTAAATTTCTCTTCCATTTTCTTCGTTTTATTTTTTTTTCCACTTTCATCGATTCGCAAATTTATTTGTCCTGGTTCTCGACTTCAATTTTCCAGCCGATTCATGGAGAAATCAGACAATCTAGGGTTTTTGTTCTTCGACTTTTTGTATGTTCATAACGGGATTAGAATGGTCAGGGTGCTATTTCTGCCCACTAAGATTCTGGAGATGTCTTCTATATCGTTTGGCATTTTGCAATTTGAACTTACTCCAATAGATAACATTCCATTGAATATTATTCTGTTCCTTGTTGTTGCGGGGGAACAATAACAGTGTATTGGTTGGCCGAGAAACAAAGAAGAAGGCAGAGCAGCAGCACCAGGAGACGAGGTCGAGTCTAGATTTAAGCAATTATAGGCACAACAAAGCCGCTAAGAGTACATCTGATACTCCGTATGCAAGTCCCGAAATCAGTCCACAGAGGATAAGGCATGCTTTCATCACATCTCCATACAACAACCTGATTCCAAACGGGAAGCAAGGTTGGTCTGCACCCGAGATGGCTACACTAGATATACCAGGGCTCCCACCACCTGCATTTTTAGATTTGAGTAGTGATAGTTCGCCCATTCAAAGCCCCGCAGCAACCAGAAGTCCTCCATCTCCTGTGGCTGCTAGAACTTCGTTTGAGACTTCAACTGCCAGGCAACGTGACAACAATGCAAGTGTAGAGGTCCACAAGTTGCCTCTTCCTCCAGGAGCGAATCTGTTATCTCCAACTCCGACGGCTGCTGCTGCTGTCGTTCCTCCTGTTGCCGCTGCTGCTAAACAAGAGTCTGTACCCATGAAAAGTCAGTGGCAGAAAGGGAAGCTTATTGGGCGTGGTACGTTCGGAAGTGTTTATGTTGCCAACAACAGGTATGGGAGATTTTGGTGGTTGTGGGATTCATTTAATTGCCCCCCTAACCTTTCTTTCTCATTGCACAATTGCTAATTGCAGTATATATTGTTTTCAGGGAAACTGGGGCCTTATGTGCAATGAAGGAGGTTGATATGTTTCCTGATGACCCAAAATCTCAAGAATGCATAAAGCAACTAGAGCAGGTTATTCCCGTTATGCGCAGAATGAATGACATAAAACTGATTATATTGATTGTTAAGCCTGTTTTCACATACCGAATTTATGCCAACTCTGTAGGAAATTAAAGTTCTTAGCCAGTTGAAGCATCCAAACATTGTGCAGTATTATGGTAGTGAAATAGTGAGTAACTCTCGAGCTGTGTCTTTTAACATTTTTTTTCTTTTTCATTTGGATATCTGCTTGGTTTTTCTGTTTGAGTAATCAATGGGTTATTATGTCTGTAGGTTGAGGACCACTTTTATATCTATTTAGAGTACGTCCATCCCGGTTCAATCAATAAGTATGTCCGTGATCATTGTGGAGCTGTAACAGAATCCATCGTTCGTAGTTTTACCCGCCATATCCTCTCTGGATTGGCATACTTGCATACCATGAAGACAGTACACAGGTGACGATAACATCCATTCTATGGTCACTAGTTTGGCTTTCCTAGAAAATATGGATACAGAGGTATAGCATATTTTGTCACACTGTCTTACTCCTCTGTGGTATATAGGGACATAAAAGGAGCAAATTTGCTTGTGGATGCATCTGGGGTTGTAAAGCTAGCAGATTTTGGGATGTCAAAACATGTGAGTTCCCATTTTCTTCCCTATTTTCCCTCTTTGCGAGTGGCATATCCTACAGATGGTAATTTTCACAGATCTATTGCTTGATCAGCTTACTGGACCAGTAGCTGAGCTTTCATTGAAGGGAAGTCCTTACTGGATGGCACCAGAGGTAAACCTACTGCCCGCTCATCAAACTAAGATGATGGTGTTTCTATTATCCAACACTGATTATTGTATGTTCTATGCACAGCTTATGCAAGCTGTTATGCAGAAGGACAATAACTCTGATCTTGCACTTGCTGTTGACATTTGGAGCTTAGGCTGCACGATCATTGAAATGTTCACTGGGAAACCTCCTTGGAGTGAGTTTGAGGGTGTAAGTTACAAATCTTCTACCAGCTAGTTTGCTACTCATATATTGTTCTCCACTGATTTAGAGAATGCCTGTTTTTGTATCCTGTCTCGATATTTTTGTGATTAATCATTTTCAATCAAAACACTGATTCCTACAATACATTTTTATAAATCACACATTTCAAACTAAATGAACTTCATGAAATACATGTATTCCACAAAGCAAGTTAACCAAGTAACCCCTAGAAACTTTTTCTTTCATCACATCAGACACTCCTGCACTAATTAAAACCTTGAGATGATGTTTCAGATATGTACATAATCCATGCCCAACGGTTCTCCAGGTCTCTGTTTAATTCAAGTGTTATTATTATTGTCTCTTTACATGATGCAGGCCGCAGCTATGTTCAAAGTAATGAGGGACACTCCACCTGTACCCGAAACATTGTCAGCCGATGGCAAGGATTTCCTTCTTTGGTGCTTCAAAAGAAACCCTGCAGAGCGGCCGTCAGCTAGCTTGTTACTAGAACATCGGTGGTTAAAACAGCTGCATGATGTTCCACCCTCATCTACACCACAAATCAATGGCCCTAAACCAATGGTAAAAAATCATTATTAATGTAGTAATCCATTCATGCCCAGTAAAACATATACGTAGCCTTGAACTTTGGACTGTGTTTTTCATATGACACCGGCAGGACACGAGCCGTAGCCTTAGAGTGACTGATTGCAGCACTAGTAGGGCCGATCCATTGCCACCAAAACTTCCAACCTCACGAAGCTCCAAGGGGAAGTTCGTCTCTGACAAGTAAGAACTTTCTTTCTGCCTGCCTTAGCCCATGTCTTTCGTTGGCTATGCCTTACCATTAACAGTATCCGCAATCCCACATCCTAGCAATATGTTAACAATATGTCTTGCAAGCCGATGCTGTTGCTCTAACACCGTGTATCTTTTGCTTTGAATGAGTTGGCAGCCCTCCGATGTTAAATACTCGTGCTGTTCAGCAAGAGCGCCCAATGATCTCGTGAGAGTTGAGACCCCAACATGATCCCCTGACAGTAGTTTTCCCCTGATTTTTGGGGCAGGGTTCTCTCAATTGCAAAGGAACTCAGTCCGATCACAGAAGCAAACCTCGGCCTAGTGTATTTTGCTTGGCGACGAAGTAAGCTGACTAGAGGAATAGAGAATCGAAGTCCCTCCTGATTGGCAAATGTATACATATGTACTATATAATTTTTGAGCCAATTCAGGGTAGTACCCTTAGTTTAGATGAGGGGTATCCCTGACTGATTGGTTTCTTACACGGATTCTTCTTCCCAGCTGCCAGGGCGGTGATGGTGACTGCGACGTCTTGTTGCTTTATGTAATGTGTGTAATATACTTTCCTGGAAGGTGGAGAGAAGAAGAGGAGGAAGGTGTTGTTTTGCCTCCATCTCCCATTGTTTGTGTAATATAATGTTGAGGAGGGAAGCAGACTGTGTAGAGACAGAGTGTAGGAGAAAAGGCAAGACTGGAAAAAGGAAGAGTGTTCTTTCTTGCCTTTTATTTGAAGGACACAAGGAATGAAGATCCACCACGAGGGTGGTAACAAGAAGGCCGGAAGGTTTTTCCGTCCCCTGTACGAGGAGATGCCAAGCATCTCTCATCTGTATGAACACGAAGACATAAGGAGTGTGATTGTTAAGACAATGGCCTTAGTTCAGTTTGGTTTCTTGATTATGTAAATTTGCGTTAGAGAAACAAAGGACTCCCCTTTTTGTGCTGCCAAGGTGTTGAATTTATCATCAACGATGAATACGTGGATTTCTTGGACCCACGCTGGTGGATCTTTTTTCAGGCCCAATTGTTCTCTCCTTTCCTGGGATGGGCCGAGTTTTAGAAGGAGGGCATATGGTCCTTTTCCTGTTTGGGATAAATCTATATACCGCAAGAATGGAAAATTTGAAGCTTCATTTCAAATTTCCAGGCTCCATAGCAATTTGCGAAAGAGTATTTTTGGTAAGGAGCGACACAATTTTCTTTTCTACATTCCGTGTCTGCCTGGTCCGTCACTACCCTGGGCTGCGCATAAAACCTCAAAACAAACAGCTGGGCCTGCATTTCGGCTCATTTACCCCCTACAGTTAATCTTCCAATAATCCCTAATCCCCCCCCCCCCCCACACGATCTAAACGGCCACCAGCATAGCAAATCATTATCAATGTAGCTCCTTCACTACCGTGTGTGTCATAATTAGAGGTGGCAAATAGATTGATCCATGGATTGGTGGATTGGTGGATCCATGGATCAAATGGATTGGATCCAATGGATTGGTGGATTCATGGATTGGATCAAGTGGATTGGTGGATTATCCATGAATCCAAATGACATCCTCAACCAAGGACCAATATGTAAAATGTGAAAAGTTTAGGTACTAAAATGTCATAATGAAAAATTTTAGGTACCAAAACGTAATTTCTCAATGATATTTTTCGTATAAAAAATTAATTTTGGGTACCAAAATGTAAAATATAAAAAGTATAGGTACCAAACCATAATTTGTCATTTAAATCCGTGGATCAATCCATGAATCCACTAATCCAATTGGATTTGGATCAAATGGATTGGATTTAAATGGATTGGATTAAGTGGATATTTTTAATGGGTTGGTGGATTGGATTGAGAATTGCCACCTCTAGTCATAATCATAACTATTAAATATTCTGGTTAATATACTTTATCCGTTTAAAATGTGTATATCCATATTATTGTTAATTTTTCCTGTTCATTTGATAACTCACAATTTTTTTTTTTGCATTGAAGGGAGGCTGAAGCCGCACAGACAAGGAAGGTTACAAAGAAGAAGAGTGTTGCGTCACAACACGACGCTCAAAAGAAACGGCCATACAATCATCAATAAGAATGGGAGCTAACGTCGGCGGTGGATCAACAAGTTCATGCATACCCAGGGGATAGACGAGACTGTGTTTCGATAGCCAGTCCGCGGCTCTATTCCCCTCCCGGTACACATGCCCGATGCTGACCAACCAATCCTGCGCCAGACTCCTCCGAATCGAAGCCAACAAAGAGGCGTATTGATGAACGGGATCATGGCGACTCTTAATCAACGAGATAGCCAACTGAGAATCCGACTCAATAAGAACACAGGCACACCCAACTTTCCTGACGAGTTGGAGGCCATAGTAGACAACCTAGAGCTCGGCGAGAGTCGCCGAGGCTTCACCCACTTTAGCAACGAAACCCCGGATCCACTTACCATGCTCATCGCGAATAATACCCCCAGCTCCGGATAGCCCAGGATAGCCCACCGACGCCCCATCCACGTTAAGCTTGACCGACCCATTTCGAGGAAAACTCCAATGGATCTGCGTCTCCACCCTCTCCGGCTTGGATCCCTGGCGGCCGAAGTTCACTGTTGGGGCCTGCCAAGCCTTATGCCACAAAAGAGCCCTTTGATGGATGGAGAAAGTAAGGGAGGGTGCTGAAAGTGCCTTATGCAACACCTGGAAACAACATGTACACCTGTTTTTCCAAATTAACCACACAACAGTACTAAAGAAGCTGTTCCAAATCATACCAGAATCCGTCATGTCCTCCTTGAGAATGTTGTCACGGAACCAATCTTCCCGGCTGCTGAAGAAAAAGCTCTGGTGCTCCTCCTGCGGAATCCATCTCAGCCAAAAGAACCGAGCAGGGTAGCAGTCCCGCAGCAAGTGAAGGATGGTCTCTTCGTAGTTCCCGCATCTATGGCACATGGGGGACTCTGCACATTTACGAGAGTAGCGGAGAACATTAGTCGCAATGCGCCCTAAAGATACCAGCCACACGAAACACCTGACTCTTTCTGCAACCGGGAGCTTTCAAATGGTTCTCCACACCTTTTCATTCGGATCATTCCTCGGAGGCAAGGCCAGACTGTAGGCCGAGGAGGTTGAGAAATGGCCATTCGAGGAAGTGGTCTATAGGATAGAGTCCTATTCCAGAGACAGGGGATCCACATGGCTAGCCGTGATTTTTTGAAGCACCTCGGGAGGAAGCCAATCTTCCAAACGATTGATCTCCCATCCTCCATCCTCATCAATATAATCCACCACATGATCATCCAGCATCTCCTCCGTCACCGGTTGAAGAGCCACCTCGGCCAAGGGTACCTGCAACAGCCAAACATCACGCCAAAACTTAGCTCCTTTCCCATTATGAATATTCCACGCACAACCCTTCCGAAGAAGGCTTGAGGCTTTAGTCAAACTGTTCCGGGTGAAGGAACCTCCCTTAATAGGTCGAAGCACTTCTAGACCTTCACGATGCTACCCGTACTTCGATCTCATGACTTGTGTCCAAATGCAGTCCTTCTCTTTAAGAATCCTCCACCCTCCTTTGGCAAGCATGGCCAGGTTTGCATGCCGGAGGGACCTCATACCCCCTCCTCCTTGAGCTCTGGGTTCCGCCATTCTATCCCACGCCACCAGATAGATCTTCCCTTTCTCCTCCTCTTTTCCCCAGATAAAGTCCCTGTTAATTTTATCAATAGCATTGCAAACATTCACAGGCAATAATTCAGTCTGCATAGGATAAACAAGGATGGACAAGGAAACTGATCTGGTAACAGTCAAGCGCGCAGCGAGCGACATCTTCCTGGTTTTCCAAGGCACCAACTTCTTCTTAATCTGCAGCAGGAGCCCTTGGTATCTACTTCTGGTAACTCGACCATGAATCGTCTGAATACCTAAGTATTTCCCTAGGATGGTAACGAGGGGGATACCAGCCCTGGTACTTAGGCGTTGAGCTCTGACATGATGGATATTGGGGGGAGATGTAAATGATAGACTTCGCAAAGTTCACTCGCTGACCGGAGCTTTCACAGAACTCATCAAGACACTATTTTATAACCTTAACTTGAGAGATTTTCACTTCTGCAAACAAAACCAACTCATCGGCGAAGAAAAGATGAGTTAGAGTCGGGCCATTCTTTTATACCATCACGTATAAAAACTCGCATAACACGTTTAGCATATGTATTTAATAAATTAAATCGCTAAATTAACTATCATCTATACATTGATTCATTTTTAAAATAATTAAAATAATAAATTTTATAAAAATAAACGTACTATAAAACATACCATTAGTTTAAAGAAGAAGTAAAATATCCGTATGTATTTTATACATAACTTACCTTTATCGTATTTTACTAACTATGGTCATAATTGCATCTACACATAATATAATAGCAGTAAGGAAAAAAACTCTTCCCCCATTTCAAATTCCCTGCTCCATGAGCGTTTGTAGAGAGGGTAGAATAGTGAGTGTTAATTTTTTTTCTCTTTCCTCTATGAAACGGGCCAACTTACTGTACACGCACAGACTTAAACGGGCCCAGTGATTGTTGCGGCTTAGGTCACACAGTTTGTGGTTCTGAGGCCCACGTTGCGACTTAGGTTACAACAATCGCTAACTTCTAAAACAAGAAATTGGATTCAAACTAACAATCAAAACATCAAACTGCGGCTTGAAGACGATAATCTGTTGCTTCCTTGGAGAAGGCATACATGCAATAGTCAGTAGACATCTGGAAAGTAAAGATGGAAAGGGATACATGCAACAGTCGATCTCAGAAGGTGTTGAAGATTTGGAAAGGCGACGAAAGAAGCTAATTGCTTTCGGAGTTTCACCAAGTCCATGGCAGCAACATTGGATCTAATTGGGACGGGGAAATCAACAAAATCAGAGGCTTGGGCCTAAACAAGAGAAGATCTATTGATTGGATGAGGTCAGTTCAGTGGTCGCCGATCTGAAATTTTGTAGATCTAAGGACTAGAGAAATCTCTGGTTATTGAACTTACAGATGGGAAGAAGAAGAGGAAGAAGAAAGTGGGTGTGTTTATTGCCAATTAATTGGTGGTGGAAGGATAAATAGAGAAAATTTTGGGTGGGACGGGAGTACTGAGAAACATAGTTAGTAAATACTCCGTTTAATACATGTATATGTACCCGTACGTACTTTATCCGTTTAAAACTTCCGTATCCGTATTATTGTCAAGCCGTTTCATTTTTGTCCGTTCATTTGATGGCTCCCGTATTAAACACGTATAACACCCGTATAACACGTTTAATATCCGTATTTAATGAATTAAATTGCTAACTTTACTATTATTTATATATTTATTTATTTTTAAAATGATTAATTTTTCTATATTTATGACAATTAACGTACTATTAAACGTAACATTAGCATACAGACGAAGTAAAATACCCGTACGTATTTTATACGTAACATTCCCGTACCGTATTTTACTAACTATGCTGAGAAAATCGCAAGGTGATGTGGTGCACCCGCCCAATCCCCTCTAGCCACCTGTCTCGCACTAAAGATCATTTAAAACTAAATTTATTTTCTTTCTTTACTGCGTTGTGAGTTGTGAGACATGAGCCCTTTCTCTTTCCTATTTAATAGTTTTTCAATTTTTTTTAAATAATAATCTTTCTCTTTCGATGGAACCAAGAAACTGAAATGCCCACCCCATTCTTCTTCTGATATCTCGCATCTCTCCCCTGCCACAACCCATTTTTACTCCACAAACTCAAATTTTATCTTCATTTTCCTCCTGCGATAGCGACGAAAGGGAATTGGATAGCAGACACATAGCAGGTGCAGCCGCGATAAAATCCGAAACGTCATCTTAGCTTCATTTTCATTTCTCAGTTATGATGTCCGTCAATTCCTCTTTTGGATTCCGCTATGAATTGTCCTGTTTCAATTCTTTGGATTCTGCTATAGATTGTAGTGTTTCTAAACTGGAATTGTTGTGTACTTTTGGTTAGTTCATTGACGAATGATAATGAAAGTAATAGAGGAATGCATACCTGGGCCGGTAACTATATATGCACAATAGGGATCGGTGGGGAATACTCGCTGACGAAGAGCTTTTTCAGTTTTAGTCGGGAT